TTTTTTTTTTTTTTTTGTACTGGGAATCAAACTAGGAACAGTGCCAGGCAAGCGGTGGCCAAATTCCCTGCCCTCTTTTATTTTTTTTAACTTAATAAACCTTATTTTATCCATTACCTCCTTCAAGCCCCCTTCCTTCCCTACGTGCAAAAGCTTTGTTTCCATTTTTCTTTTCTATGTTCTCTAGTGGTCAACTGTTAAATTTTGCCGTTAATGTTTTTGTATCTTTATAAAATTTTTATATTAATATATAATCAATAATAAATATCTTTAAAGTTCTTCACTTTTAATTTCTAATATGGTAAGTAATGATATACATGTGTAATCTACATAGTCATTCTTTGAGGACCTCTACCTGTAGAAGTATAAAGGAATCCAGAGGCCAAAAAGTTTAAGAATTTTTTAGAAGAATGGAACGAGAACATGTGATTGTAATTTTTTTTATTTATTTATTTTTGTTTTGTTTTGTTTTTTGAGACAGGGTCTCACTATGTAGTTGAGACTGATCTGGAGCTCACTATGTAGCCCAGGTTAGTCTTAGCGATCCTCCTGCCTCAGGATTACAGGCATGCGCCACCATGCCCGGCTGATTGTAGTATTTAAAATTCAAAACTTTAGAGAACTTTGTAGGGAAAGTTTTTTGTTTTTTTTACTTAGTAAATCTTCCAGAACAAGAAAAAGAAAATAAATAACAGAAAGGCATTTTTTTCCCTAAAACTAAAATTAAAATAGTGAAAATAAGATTGTGGAGGGAAAAATAGCAAACAAGTGCATGGTTTAACCTCATCAGAAGACATCGTCACTGTATTGAAAATGATACCAGGAATACTATTTATCCTTAGAAATGAAGGACATTCTGACCTATGCTACAATGTAAATGAACTTCAAGGGAATTATGCTAAGTGAAATAAGCTAGTCTGAAAAAAGACAAATTCTCTATAATTCCAATTATATAAGATACTTAGAGTAATTCCAATTAATGAGACAGAAAGTAGAATTATGATACCCAGAGGCTGAGGAAAAGGGAAGTGGGGACTCTCCCCTTTCAAGTGGTAG